AAGCGGCTTAGTCATGCTGGCCACATGACCTGGAAGCTGTACGCCAGCTCCCTCGGCCAATAAAGCAAGATGAGCGCCGCAACCCCAGAGTCGGTCATGACTGGACCTAATGTACAGGGGTCCCTTTACCTACCAAGCAACCAAGTAAGCAGGGGGCTAAAGAGGGGAGAAGGTGGCAGAAAGAGTGGAAAGGAAATGGGCGGACTATCCCCATTTTGATTCTGGCAGTGACTACCTCTGGCTTCAGCCAATCCACTGCCAGCATACGGCCTCTGGCACATTACCCTGAGGGAATGCGGCCCTCAAGAGAAAGAAGGTTCCCACTCCCTTCTATAGACCATATGCACTATGATCCAGTGCAATGGAAACACAATGCAAAGTGGAGAGGTACGTAATCAGCTTTGTATCATTTGCAGACTGAAAGCAACAATCAGACTGAATGCCTATCATATTCACTGGACTGGTTTCCGTACCAGATATGGGGAATAAGCAAACACTGACAATTTACACTACCATTTTCACTAACATTCTCCTGCATCCTACTTAAAGGTATGTCTGAATCTGAAAATGTTGAAGACTGTTTATTTGACTCAGTGGTTGAAGTCATTTAAGTCATTTAAATGTTTTAGATCAATGATTTAATCAATGATTTAAATCAATCATAAAACAACCACTTCAGCAAAACTACATGAATTCTAACCTTTGAAATCAGGCCTGTCTCCAGATCTAGTTAGTTGCTCACTAAATCATGTTCCTATTTTCCACTTTCATGTCTTTTTTCATCTCTCTCTGAAAACTATCAGTCTCCAGCGTAAGAAAATCAGTGACATTTGGATCTCATAAAGTCTTAAAAGACTTACAAAGATGTGTGCAAATACTGCTGATTGGATTACCATCTCTTTCTAGTAACAAAATGTTAACAGGAAAAAAATTATAACCACCCAAGCATCTTGATGCCACTGTGAGAATGAGACAGCTAAATGATACATTTGGGTGACTCAGAAGGGAGAAATAAAATTAAAACATCCAAAAATGCTAGCACACAAATCTACTCATTGTTCTTGGCACCATCTCATCCTCAAGGGATTTTATTTTTCCCCCAGTATTTTTTTTCAATACTGTATTGATATGCATAGTTGCAAAATGAACTGCAATTCTTCTAGGAGTTTAAATGATAGTGGGTGTGACTGTTTCCAATTCCAAAATACTTTTCATGTTTCTGAGTTACACTCCCAATTGCTTTTCTTCTTAGCTGAGCATAAACACTGCCTCTCTAGATGAGAATTATAACTTTTCCATTGTTGCTTTGATGGAAGGCGATACATGAATTCCTTACAATTAGAGGTGGGGAATGTTTGGCCCTCCAAATGTTGTTGGACTTGAACTCCCATCAGCCCCAGCCAGTGTAGTCAATGGTTAAGGATGATGGGAGCTGGAATCCAATAGCAGCAGGAGGCTTATAGGTTCTCCAGGCCTGTTAGATTCCCTAGTCAAAATTTGATCCACATCACTGACACTTAATGGAAGTGGTAGGAGTGGGAAAACATGAATACAGGCATCCTCCCACTTACGTGGGGGTTACATTCCAGGCCCCTGCGTGCCAAAGTGAAATCGCGTAAAGTGCGGAGCACCCTCTAAACGCTATTTCTGCTGCTCCCTCTTCAATGCATACCAAAAAGACTGTATCCAAAGATATCCGCAACTAGGACTGAAGCTCTGGGGCTGGCAGGAGGATGGAGGGCGTGTGGAAAAGCAGTGGCTGCACGACCCCACACATCAGTTATTAGGCAGGGAGGCTGAGCAGCCTAAACAAAGCCCCGCTGAGCCTCTGGAAGATAAAAGATTGTTTATGTATGCAACAGCTGCGGCAAGAAATCTTAGCCCAAAAATGGAAACAACAAGAAGTACCAATGAAAGAAGAGTGGCAGATGAAGATGATGGACTTTGCAGAACTGGCGAAGCTGACAGGAAAAATCTGAAACCAGCAAGATCAAGAACTCCAAAAAGACTGGAGTAAATTTATACGATATCTGAAAGATTACTGTAAGCAATTAACATCAATAGCAGGGTTGTCTGAAGATCTGTAATGAGAAATTCTCTATCTTTCTATATTTATTTAAATCTTGAGTTATTTTGTAATGTGTGTAATTAGAATTGGAAAACGTACAAAATGCAATGATAAAGGTTAATTTTGAAAGCCATGAGGCGAGAGGGAAGGAAGTCGACAGGCTCTAAAGAGCCAGGGATGTACGGTACATGGTCAGACATGAGTTGATCGTGCATAAGTGGGGGGACACCTGTATATTGATGTCACACCTACCACAATATAAATTATTCTAGTCTTTAGGCAAGGGGAGGGAGAAAGTAAGATTCAATAGCCAGTTTCTGAAGCAACTGCATGTTTACTGTCACAGCGTATATGGTCCTAAAGATCCCCATTGAATGTACTGTACATACGGTAGCAAACTCAAGTTTACTGCTCTAGTATGGGAGAAAATCCTGACAGTCCTGGTTTGTGACCAACCTATGTTTTCTTATCAGCTCTAGTTTGTCTCATCCCCCCCTCCCAAATATGAAACCTTTCCAGGAATGGGAGATACTAGATGCATGGTGTCTGGGGCAGCTGCTACACATTTACCATAACATCTAGTTTGGCCATTTACCAAGTGTATGTGCACATTTGGTTATTCACCTGCAATGAGTGAATGTAAGGAAGATGTGTCTTCACTTAAAACCTCTTTGGTGTACATCTGACAAGATGCAATAGAGTGAAGCACCCTTCAGACACATCAAAAATGCACAATCTGTTCAAGAACCCGACTTCACTCTTCTTCAAAACCAGGGAAAAGCAGTATGCTTGTGAAACATATGGTTATGGAAGATAAAAGGGAAAGTGGTGGAATAAGCAAAACTACAAAAGAGTTAGCAATGAGAAAAGTAACAAGATCCCATGGGGACATTTCTGTTGAATGTGTATGCAAATACAGAAAGCGCAACACTGAGAATATGAGAAGCCATATCTATATTTTAAAAGTGTGCAGAAAAACAAGGCAAAATGGTGGAGTTAATAGATTGTGCTGGGTAATCGGGCATTTAGATAACGAGATCCCTAGCTTTATTTCAGTTCTAAGAATTGACTGTACTAAATGCCTGTTTCCCCAAAAGCAAAACAGTAGCTGAAAAATAAATTCTGGGGCTCCCTCCTTCACCCTATATATAGCTGATCACAACTCATTTTAATTAACACAAAGCTTGCTTTCTGGAGGGGGGACAGGGGGAATTAATTTGCTTTGGAGAACAGATATCATTCACAGATAAATTTCATCATTAGACATCATTAGGAATCATAAAGAGATTTCAGGTCATCTCCTGACATTTACCATATTTACGTGTGTGTGTGTTTTCTGCATATCCTTTGGGTTAAAAGAGATAAACAACTCTTTGTGTGTCATTCAAGCGGGAGAAGCACTTCTTAAAGTAAGGAAAAGTGATAAGCATGTTCTGATATCAAAAGGAACAAACTTCTGAAAATGCCGTCTTCTACTCTCATCTGATATCTGCCTCAATCCAGGTCACAGTATGCCTCCAACATTGCAGCTGGAAAAATAGCTATTTCACTTCTTGTCTATTTTATAAAACCCCATGTTGCCCAGGTGTTTTAATATTCTGAGACACAGCTCTTTGCAAAGCAGTAATTGCAACTTGCTAAGAGATCACAAAGCAGAAATGAAAAAATTGCATTATCCAACAGCACAACCACCCAACTTCAAGTGACTACTGAAGTGCTTGACCAGCATCTAGTGTCAGTTTGGGGCAGAAAGAGGCCCAAAAATCTTAAAATGAATCCCAGCAAGACAGAGGTTCTGTGGATCTGCAGTTCCCACATCTGGGAATTGACACCGTGTTCTTGATTGTGTAGTGCCTCCCATAAAACCCAGGTTCACAACTTGGGGATGACTCTTGATACTAAATTATCGCTGAAGACTCAGATGTCTTCAGTGATGAAGCAAAGCAATGGCCAGCTCCAGCTCATCCATCAGCTATTCCTGGACCAGGACAGCTTGGCTTCAGTTACCCATGAACTAATAGCCTCCAACATAGATTACTGCAATGCACTCTACATGGGCCTGCCCTTGAAAATGAGCTGGAAACGGCAGCTGGTACAGAATGCCATTTTTTAAAAAACGGGTAGTGAGGGAAGATCAAATTACCCTAATCCTCAAATCTCTGCAGTGGTGGCCTGTGAATTTCTGAGCCCCAAACAACTTAGGACCAAAGTACTAGGCAGAACTCCGTCTCTAGGAGCTCCCTATTAAGACCTGCTAGGAATGCCCTGTTTGTTGACTCAAGCTTCTGCTAGGTGGGCGACAGCATGAAGAAAAGCATTTTTGGAGGTGATCCCCTCCCTAATGAATATTTGGTTGGCCTCATTTAGGAACAAACTAAAAAACCTTTTGTTCAACGAACCTTCTTACTGACACTGCTACCTTTTGTTTGTTGTTAAAGTTTTGTAAGTGTTTTTTTTTAAATTGTTGTTGTGCTATATGAGCAGCTGCTCTGTGCTGCCACTGGGAGAAAGGGGAGGATATAAGTATGAGGAAATAAATAAATAGTACCATGAATCCAGTTCAGCCCTTCCTATCCATAACACGCAGTTCAACAAAATCTTGTGCTCTAACATCACTGCATTGTGTATTTCCACACCCTTGCTCCACATCATTGGCTGATGCTGTCAAAGTGTGTGCTTGTTTGTATGTGTGTTTGGAGGAAATGTGCAGAGTAATGGGCATCAGAACATGAAAGAAATTGTGCTATATGTCATGGACGGTAAGGGAGGAAGTTGACATGGGGCTGCCATTTTCAGCTTCATGTTCCTGATAACTTGTATCTCCGGACTGCAGAACTGGAATGTTTACTGCCTGTTAGATAAATCAGGGTTGAACTGACCTGGGAAATTAAGAAGGGTTTTGTTTTTAATGAATACGGCCTGTCAAGCTCACCTTTCCTCTCTTGGTAAACTTCATCCAGGAGCTGCTCCCGCTTTTCTAACTGACCTATGAGGTTTTGGTGCTCAGACTCTTTGCTCAAGGTCAAATGTTTCAACTGCTCTCGGTTCTGCAGCAGCTGACGCCGAAGTTTCTTTTCCTTGGTCTCTCTCTCCTTCACTTCTTCACACAACCACTTTAGTTTTGTCTAGAAGAAAACATATTTGCATAATACTTAACAAGAAAGGGCCTTTACTGCAGTCTTCCTCAACCGCACTTCTACGGCAAAGCTTTGCCAAACTCAAAATGCAATAGGCTAAAAGAAGCTTTATGTCCAGTTTAAAGTCCTGCCAGCCCTCTCAGGGGTTCTTTAGTTGTGATTCCTCTGTTGCAACTGGTCCCTTCCAACTTTACAATTCTGATTCCCACCCCATCATTTTTCTCTCACCCCTCCCCTCACGCCTCATTAAAATTTTCATCAGTTTTGGTTTAGGGTCTTCTCAAGTGAGATGTATTCATTGGCCGGGTGGGATTCACAGCCCTTCTGCAGGTTTGCCAGGGCAGTTTACAAACCCCAATACAGGCTTTATCCAAATTCGGAAAATTCTATTTCCTGTCAAGTCCTGAGGCTAAGGACAGATTTCAAAAAGTAATAAAATGGCTGAAAGCTGACAGATTCCATAAACCATCAAGGCAAATCTGTACACAGATTCAGCTTTCTTGATTCTTTCCTGTATGTAGAAGTATGCTGTAAATGGATACATCCTGCATTTGGTGAATGCTCTTGGCACTACTGCATCAAAAGGTTACCACTACATTCAGCTCTGACTAAACCAATTACTGAAAATTCCAGTACAGTGGTACCTCGGGTTACAGACGCTTCAGGTTACAGACGCTTCAGGTTACAGACTCTGCTAACCCAGAAATAGTACCTCGGGTTAAGAACTTTGCTTCAGGATGAGAACAGAAATTGTGTGGCAGCAGTGGGAGGCCCCATTAGCTAAAGTGGTACCCCACGTTAAGAACAGTTTCAGGTTAAGAATGGACGTCCAGAACGAATTAAGTTCTTAACCCGAGGTACCACTGTACAAACTAACATGATCTGCACTTTCCAGACATATGTGGACTGGAATGTAGTTAGTCTTTGAACTTCTCTGATTTTTATTATTCAGTTATCAGCTCAAAATGTGTATTTCATGATAAAATACATTTAGAAGAAAATATGCTATTTGATTCTATTTATGTTGCACCCAAGTTTCATATATATTCATTCATAGGTCCTTTTGTCCCGTTTCTCCACTAATGCGCAGGTTTTCTAAAACTAAAACTAAAACTGCACAATAATTCTAATTTATATTTACCAGTATATTTAAACAATTAAGAAATGGTTTTAAAAAAACAGTGGCTTATTGTGGCATGTGAACAAGGACTGCTATGCTATACTGAGCATAAAGAATGAACAATATACTGATAAATGTTTCCTGGGTGGATATCTATGCAAGTAGGTCACTAATGGCACAAATACAGATGGCACAGATCATAATTCCATGAAAATTACCCCGAATCCTTAATTTCTTCAGTCTGTATACGAGAGTAAATACCTCAGTAAGGGCTAGCACTTGTTTGCCATGCCATTTAATTCATCTTCTATTTGTCATTCACGTACTCCCAATATTAAAATGCCGTGAGCATGTCAAAGTCCAGGATCTAAAGAACACTTTGAAGAATATGGAAGTGCTTCCTCAAATTCACTGGTTTCGCTCAACCCCCATCCCCAACCAGATGCGGCTCCTCATGCTTAATGGGAGGTAGCACCCCAATTTCCTTGAGATTTAGGAGCAGTTTCTAAGAGGCTACAGGGAGCTGCTTCAGTAAAGGGGGCCTCAGAAGCTGTACTGTGCATGTGGGGACTCACCCCACAGCAGTCAATGCCTTTGAGCTCTTTAGAGCAGTGTTTCCCAACCTTGTGCCTCCAGATGTTTTTGGCCTACAACTCCCATCATCCCTGACTAGCAAGACCAGTGGCAAGGGATGATGGGAATTGTAGGCCAAAAACAGCTGGAGGCACAAGGTTGGGAAACACTGCTTTAGAGTGTTCATCTGTAAATGCAAGGAACTCAGGCAATGAAAGAGCAAGTGAGTAAAGCCATATTTCTTGCAAACCAATTATTAAGGCTGTTTGGTTTTGGGGTGCAAACGTTATTTCCAAAGGCCCCTTCATTTCAAGACTCACCTACTAATAACTAAAAAGAATTCAACTGGCAGATTTATGAATCAATTACTACATGTCCTCTGAAAGGTCTTCTTGATGCTTGCGCCTAGGGTTTCAGCATCAACAATCTGAATAGTGATTCGGTTTCCTCTACAGCCATTGTCCTCCAATTCAAACTCTTATCTCCAGTATTTATGGCAATATTCACTCCTGGCCCATGTGCATTACAAACTAGCCCATCAATAACTTCAGGCAATCTTGCTAACAAACAAATGCAATTTCGCCCAAGTCAGACGGTCAACTTTCCTCCCCTCATTGTGACCCTAATATACTACGGGGATAGGTCTTGTCTCATGAAGCAGCAAAAAAAGTCTTTCAGCTTCGTGCGAAATTTAAGACGATTAAAAGATACATGATAAAAGTTGCTTACAAAGTTACCCAAAGGGAAAAGCAATAGCAGAAGCTACCAACATTGGTTTGGTCTTTTAAGCCAACACAATGTACATGTAAGAAAGATGCATTCTGTGCAATGCACCCTAAACACATTAGGGATTAAGAAATGTAGCCAAATCTTAGCCTAATTGCTAAAAAGCAGTATTTACCTTTGTTTCTGCCAGCCATCGATGAGGGTCATTCTGTACCCCAGGTGTAAGTGATATTGCCTAAATCATATTTGAAAATGAACAAAATGAACAAACACTGGTAAATTAACACACAAGGCTAGGTAAAAATGCCAATTAAAATGCCCATTTTAGTCTAAGTAATTCTTCAATAGGCCTGAGCAACTTATTTCTGTAGCATGCCTAATTGTTGGGTATAGTAGGACATCTCCCAGAAATAGAGACTTTTTTTGTAACCTGAGGAAAGGCAGGGGAGACAGAGAGATTATTTATTTATTTATTTTACACAAAAACTGTAACAACAGAAACCTCGATTTAACCATTTGTAACAATATAATTATTTTTATTGTTTGTGCATGACTTTGTAGCAATTTATTATTGTCATTGTGATGGTGGTGATACCGTCTTGTTGTTGTTGATTAGATTTGTCACTTTTGTTCCCCTGATGAATAATATTTCAAATTATGTAAAAAAATAAAATAGAAAGGGCAGCTTTTAAACTACCTCTGAAAGGGTTAAGAAAAAGTTAATCACATGCTGCTATCAATAGGTTCTTATGAGGTTTTCCCTGACATGCTTCAGAAAGGGGGGGGGGTGTACCCAGTGAATGTGTAATAAGAATAAAAAAACCTGGTATACTTTTGGCTTGTGTGCGTGCTTATTTTGGTTTTTAATAGTCATTAAATATAAAATTTGATGATTTGCGCTCAATTAAGTTCCACTCAAAGTAGCCCACTGAAATTATTGAACCTATTTTTCACATCAATTAATTTAAATGGGCCTACTCTGAAGTATGACTAGCATTCGCTTCATGATCCGCTAAAGCAGCATGGCTACATTATGTGTGTCTAAGCGCTGGTAGGCATCATCTTTCTTAAGAGCACAAACTGCTTGACACAAAAAGGAAATCACACACAGCACGAATGGGATAGGGCTATTGGACCCTATTTCAATATACAAATATCATTTAGAAAGGAAAACAGTGAGGTGACTAATGTAAGAGCAGCAAACTATGTTTTTCTATGTGCATTTGGTCCCACCCTATTCTTTTGAAACATTTTGTGTTCTGAATTGCTGTAACATGCCCTGGGACCTTGTAGAAACGATAGCAATAAGAACAGCCACAGTCTGTCAGAGAAGTTATGCAACACTGGTCAGGAGCAATAGGCTGCCATTTGTTACAGGGACCCACTACTAACCTAAAACATGCACTTCTCTTAATGGCACGGCTTACACACACAGCAGATAAGATAGTAAAACTGTTCCAGGGCTGTATTGGTTTATAGTATAGATGAGAAGTTCACATGAGCAAATGCTCAACTACACATTAAGCTTCCTGTATACAGAAAATTAGATGTCAGGAAGAATTCTTGTCAGCCTAAGCTTTTCTTTGATGTACCAGCTTTCTATGTAAAGGGTTTTTTCATTCAACCATGCAATCCTTGACCTGCAGTCTTAAATTTTACTACCTCCTCTACCGTTTGCATGAGCTAGGCTGAATAAAGCTGATGGTATCGGCCAACAAGTTAGATACAGATGAATTATTGAGACATATTTCTAAAATAGCAATTGCATTTTTTTAAGGCAGAAGATTATCAAGTGCAACTCCTAATCTTCTGTTTCATAAAACATCCACAAGTAAGTTTAACAAGCAGCCATGAATAAAATGTTATGTCCATGTAATTAACAAGATTATAATCTAAGGCCAACTGAAAACTCATAGTTACTGTGAATTTCTCCACTGAATCCCTTGCGAGGACTTCACAAGCTGCATCGATTTCACTTCCTATCATAGAGAGGATGGATTCCTGTTCATTTTGCAGGCTTCTCAGTTGATCATGAAGATGTAATCTGTCTTCTTCTATCCTTCTTAAGTGATCATCTTCTCCGAATGTCCTTTTATTCTAAAGCAAAAAATAACATCATATGAACTAAAATTTCTTCTGTCAGTTAATATCTGAACTTCCAAAACAGTGAGAAACCATAACGCACAAGCACATCTATGCTTCTGGGGAGGGTGGAGGGAAATCAATACTGTGCACTTGTCATAAGGAGTAACTGAACATGCTGTGCCCAAAATAGCCTACAATTGATGGGATGTGTCCTTTTGCTAGAATTGCATTTGGTAGTGAAAAACTTGACCAAGAAGGGGTGTGAGAGAAAAGTGCAGGGGAGAATAATTTGTAAGTTGCCACATTAGCAAGTCAAAGTCAAACGTTCAGCAGAGTTGCTCTGTCCACACTACAGTCAAACCCCAAGGAGCTGTCAGATTGATTTCATTTAAAACTGCATACCAAAAGAACAGTTCAAGCATCTTATCGTTTAATTTTTGGTTTGTCTCTGTATATTTTCTTCCCTTGGACCTTTAGTCGAAAAGGGCAGATTATAAATACTACTAGTAAGGTAAGGTAAAAAGCTTTTGTCGGATAAGGTAATAGTAAAGGTAAGGGACCCCTGGACAGTTAAGTCCAGTCAAAGGCAACTATGGGGTGTGGTGCTCATCTCGCTTCAGGCCAAGGGAGCAGGCATTTGTCCACAGACAGCTTTCCGGGTCATGTGGCCAGCATGACTAAACCGCTATTGGCGCACGGAGGACCGTGACGAGTGCCAGAGCGCACAGAAATGCCGTTTACCTTCCCACTACAGCGGTACCTATTTATCTACATGCACTAGTACACTGGTTGACAGAAGATGGGACAGAGCAACGGGAGCTCACCCCATCACACGGATTCAAACTGCTGACCTTCTGACTAGTAGTAGAAGTAATAATAATAACAACAACAACAACATCTGGGTCACTGAAAATGGATGAAAACATGAAAACAAGGATTTCACTGCATCAACATGTTCTCTGCTAAAGGCCTTAATCCATTATTTGTGGGCAACTACAGCCAAACAGATTCCTAGAACCCTATAATTTTAGGCCAAGTATGCTACCGGCAAACACCGGCCTAGTTAATTAAAGACCCCACACTCACCAACATACATAGACAACAAAGGCAGAGGGGTGTATTCCTCTAGGAGGTCAGGACCTTTCCACTTCAACCACTGTACAGTATTTATTATGTTAGTGGATCAGAGTTAAGCTGGCATTTGAGTGCTAAGGAAAGTTGAGCCAAAGTGGAAAACACAACATCAGGGAATAAATGAGTTGGAAAAGAGCCAGCATCACTTAGGCAGCCTCAGTCAGAAGCAGTAGCACGCAGGGAGAACAGGATGGGAGCCTTTATTGTAGCAGCTTGGTTTGCCTTTATTTCTTTCAGAGTTGGCAAGGAGAGTCGCAGTTGTTGGTCTTCTTTGTAAATTCTTCCATCTAGCAAATAAGCAGAACCTAGAGAGCAAATCCTGCCTAACATCTGAAGATTTATCCAAAAGCAAAATGATTTAATTTTACACTTCATTGCTGAGGTTTGCTCTCAATTGACATCTTTCATCTGAGATGACAACTGCCCGAACCACACGACGGCTTAGTTTAAAGCGTCAGCAAAATATTAACAAAGCAACCCTATCCCTGAAATATAGAACTGCAGCAGCAGCACCAGTGCAAGGGGAATAATCAGGGCCATTTGGGACATGATGGGGGAAGGAATGGAGCTCATTCAGAATCCTGTCCTTTGGTCTCTCTTCAGTGGCATTTTCTGCACCTGCATAATAAATTTTGCCTACGAAGGGGGGGGGGGGAGAACCAAATTATTGGCTCAAAGCTCTGCCCTCAAAAGTTACACAGGACGACACAATTCCAAGTAATTCAGCAGTCAGTCACAGCACATTATCAGCAACAAATAAGCCTCAGCTAAGAACACGGACAACACCACCCTGCGGCCATATCCGCAGAACCAGGAATATATGATCAGGGACAGTGATAGGGAACCTTGAAGAAAAGAAGCATTTTGCACAAACAATTAATAGCCAAGGTCAACAATGAAGGAGAAACAAAGAGAAAGAAAACAAGGGATTCGGGGCCACCCACTGAAACAGCAAGAATCCTCCTCTCCTTCAATTTTTCTACCTTAGTTGGTCATTAGAAGAACTTGTAACTAAGAATTAGTACCAGAGTTTGCTTATTTCTGACTCCCTCCTAAATGGTTTTCTCTTTTACATTGCCTTTTTAGATTGTAGGCCTGAGAGCAGAGGCGGTAGTGCTTTCTAATCCACCCCGGGAACCCTTTTTGGCTGTAGAAAAGGGCAAAAGGATCTGTCAGTGAACCAAGAAGACTGGCCTGCTGCAGAGCGGGTCCACCCCCACCCCAAGTTCCCAGTAATAATGAATCTAAACAAACCAAGTTGCACAACACTTCGGTTACACATTTTGTTATCCCAAGTCAAATTGCTACTTATCTCGGGTTAGTAAGTGTCCCAAAACAAAGCCATGTGTGTGGTGACTGAAGGTGAGCACTTAAGTCTGTTTCCTTGGATCACTTTTTCATGTGAAAAACACCATGGTCCATTTTCACTCCAGTATTTTCCACTAGCTGGGACAATAACAACAAAGCACCCCATGGCAAAGATTAATAGAGTTCTTGGGATATTTTGTTGCCTGGGCGCTTTTTCTTCTTCTTTCAAATAAAAAACTTTGTATGATTATTTCAACCTGCTTTCCTGCTCACTTTTTGTGTCGGGAGGGATAACAGGTTATATTGGCTGTGAGGGATGGGGAAGCAAGCCCAGGAATCAAGTGATTTCTTGGGATATTTTACATCCCAGACACTTTTCGTTTACAGCAGGAAAACTGCAAATGGTGTGAGGCTAAAATATGGAAACACAGTTTCCTGTGCAGGTGACAATACCCTGGTAACAACACACACCACGCAACAGGCTGTTTTTGACTATGTAACTTCTATTTCAAACACAATTCAACATAAAATTCTCACGAAGTGTAGACCAACACATAATGCAAACAGAACATATCAAGAGAAATTAAAGTCCAATGGATGGTCAAGAGATAAAGTCCATTCAGTTCCTAATTCAGTGACAATATCCTAGCACAGAAGAACTGTGTTGTAGGTCTGCTTCTGTGAAAAATCTACAGCGAAATACACACTCAAGGTAATTAAATAAAAAAGCCTCAATTCTGGCCATACATTATAAAGAAACAGAGCACTATCACCACCAATAATGCTTCAATTTTGAAAGCAGGGAAGTAATTGGCAGTTACAACAAGATAGTCTACAAACAGCTGCATTGAAGGAATTGTATTAGGCACTCTAGATCAGGGAAGTCATTTGACTATAGACCAGAGGAGCTCACACTGTCTGGGAAAAGATGATTCCACATATATCTTCAGCTATTTAAGTGAAAGGAAGGTTTGTCTATACCAGCACCAACCAGGGTACGTTGCCAACTTTGAAAGTGCTTTGACCCCAACAATAGGCCTGCACAGCAGCTGGTATCAGACTCCTCACACAAGGTGGGGCGGGAGTAGAAGAATCATGTATGCGTCCCTATCTATGTTACTGGGGGAAGGGGAATAGCACAAAACTTAACATTAAAGCATCTCCTTAATAGAATATAAGCTGCTGAAAGATAGAGTTAAGGTAAAAGAAACAACAACAACAGCTGTATACCCTACTAAGGCTTTTTGATGTTCTTGAAATAATATTTATGGTAACAATATAAGCTAGAAAGAGAAGCTGAGAGGAATCAAACATCCTGTCTACGGATGAGGTTTGTCCCCAATTCTAGAATTCTTTTCCTTCTGAAGCCTAAGATATTATCTGGTCATATTTTTGGCCACTAATGAATACTTCATGTTGAAACACATCTGGCCTTTGTGTGCTCACACACACACAAAGTCTACTTTAACTTGATTTTTCAGCAGAAAGAATAATAGCACCAAAGAACCTACAACGTTTTCTGTGATCCAATAGAAGTCCCAGTAAAAGCCAAAACTTCAGACAATTAGTGATTACTTATCATTGTAGCATAAGAAGAGCCCTGCTGGATTAGACCTAAGGCCTAGTCAGTCCATGTTTTCCATACTGACCAACCCAATGCCTTTGGGAAGCCCCCAAACAGGAGAATAGCTCAATTCCACACACAAATACAGAAATAAAATCATTGACCATCATGATGGTCACTTTTAATATTCACTAGATGCAATGGGGATTGTGATAATTGACCGTCTCCTGCATTTTAGACACTGATGTAACACTAAAATCTGCCCAACGTTATAATGGAAGCGGATGTTGCTGCAGGATGGAAAAAGAGAAGACCTCAAAGGGATTTCATGTACGTCATATAATCGTATTTGCCAATTGCTCTTATAGACTGACTTGTTTGTTTTAGAAAAGTACAGCCCTGTTATGCATGTGGGGAGAAACCCCAAAGGCTTTCGCTTGCATATTTTGGATGGGGTCAATGGTTCAGTTTCTCCCAATTGCTTGTGAGGGACTTTTTCCCCTACAACATTTAATAAGTAAAGTTAAACAGCTCTCAAACAAAATGAAAAACAGAATGTGAACACTCGTTTGACATTTTCTCATTTAATAGATTTTTCTTTGACATTATAAAAGAGCTAGTCCTGAGCAGCTGCTCAGATCAGATCCAAAGAATACAACCGTAAGGATCCAATCATCTCTCGCTCGCTCTCTTTTCCCTTTTTGTTTTTTACCCAAATAAATATTTTGATTTGGTAAAAATGGAATCCGTGCTCTCATGTTCTCTCTTTAATTACGTCCATGCAGCAAGAAGAGTCATCAGAATGCCTGTCATCAGAAAGCGCAAATCCAAACACAGCTTGGCCATGTCAGTCTTTGGGAATGGAAATGGTTGGTATGCACCGGCACAACTTTATTTCCAAGCCAAAGCTTTAAGCAACCTTTGGTTGTATAATGGCCTGGAGAACACAGAAAACCATAAGCATCTTCTGTTGGGGTGCTATCTCTCAGTCTTTCAAATTACAGGATGAACCTACATTTTATTAAAAGAGGGCAGAATGTTTTTGTTCAAAGCTTCCAACTGGAACATTACATTATTCATTTGTCACGTCCTGCTAATATACTTGGAACCCGTTAAATTCTGTCGCCTATTCCTGCCACGTCCTGCAGAATGTTTAATAAGGAGTCATGTTCAAAAGCATTACCAGAAGTTTTAAAGTAGAATGTGCTGGTGCAGAGTAAAGAGGTTTGGTGCTACAAGCAGACAAAGCACATCTTCTGCAAAGCACAGCTCTCTTGGAAAACACCAAATAACAAGGAATAACATGCTTGGAAGAAAACAAGGAACAGGCGAAAACCTGGTGACTAAACAAATGAACAGCAGAGGTGTCAAAGCTTTTAGTGCACAACAGATTTAATAGGGAGCAAACTGAAGTCTTTCAGAGAAAAAGGTTGATATGCACAGAGAAGTCAAAGAAAGGCAAGCCAGAAAGACTTCTTTAAATGCTTGTTTGGTGTGCAGAGTTCAAGGCGTTCTGATCACTCCAGTACTTCCTGCAAAACTTTAGATATTCTGCCCCTCCATGGAATCAGATTCAATTGGGGTTGCAAAGGTTTTGTTCACTTCAAGGTTAACTTGGGGAACTCCAGTTATCCCCCCCACATCCAAATGAGGTTGAAGCTATCATTGTAGTAAAAGGTAAAGGTACCCCTGCCCGTACGGGCCAGTCTTGCCAGACTCTAGGGTTGTGTGCTCATCTCACTCTATAGGCCGGGAGCCAGCGCTGTCCGCAGACACTTCCGGGTCACGTGGCCAGCGTGACAAGCTGCATCTGGCGAGCCAGCGAGCACACGGAACGCCGTTTACCTTCCCGCTGGTAAGCGGTCCCTATTTATCTACTTGCACCCGGGGGTGCTTTCGAACTGCTAGGTTGGCAGGCGTAGAAAGAGGCAAATAATTACTCAGAAAGTGTTAGTGGTTCCCCAAAAGAGACCTGTTGGAATGTAATGTGAAAGTGCTGTCTAAAATGTATAAAATTATTATTGGAATGGGAGACAAAGGATGAGCAAGTAAAATCTTCAATGTTACATTGGTCAATAGATACTGGTTGTTATATAGACATGGAAGCATGGGAACGACTGTGGAATATGGATATAAAATTTACAGCGTGTTATGGTTTAAGAGAAAATGATATGAAAATGATATATTGATGGTATTGAACACCGAGTAAACTGGCAAAAATGTAATAAATCTCAATGAAATAAGTGTTGGAAATGTAAAGAGAAAGAAGGTACTTTTTATCATATGTGCTGGTCTTGTTGTAAGGTTAAGGCTTACTGGGAAATGATATATAATGAAATGAAAAGGATGTTTAAAATAACGTTCGTAAAAAAAACCAGACACTTTTCTCTTGGGAACTATAGGGACAGAACTACCTAAAATGTATAGAAATTTATTCATGTATACGACTGCAGCAGCAAGAATGTTACTTGCCCAAAAATGGAAAGAAGAAGAAGCCTCAGCAAAGGAAGAATGGATACAAAAACTTGTGGAATATGCAGAAATGGTGAATAAGAAATCAAGATCACAAACTTTTTATAAAAGAATGGAAATGGTTTATTGAATATTTACAGATCAATTGTAAACAGAGAAAAACATTGGCAGGACTATTGTAATAACCTGCAGTTTCGTAAAAATACATATTTAAAGAAGATGAATAAATGAACAAATTAAGTTAATTTGGATGTGCAGAAGATATTAAAAATAAATTTAAGGAACCGCAGAAAGTGGGGGAAGGAAGTCAAGTTTTGAAATAGATAGATAGATAGATAGATAGATAGATTCTTTATTGTCATTACACAAGTGCAACATTGCACAAGTGCAACGAAATTGGATGCCATCCCTTAAAAACAACAAAAGCAAAACAACAACAACAACCAAACAAACCACCTTCCAGCCACACCCACACCCACACCCATCAAACTCCCAGGTCTCCCTATCGAGTTACAGCATTCAAAAAGGCCACAGCTCTTGGATAGAAACTGTTTTTCAGTCTATTTGTCCTTGACTTGATGTTTCTATACCTCCTGCCAGAAGGCAGTAGTGCAAACAGACTGTATCCCGGGTGAGATGGATCCTGCAGGATGTTGTTTGCTTTCCTAAGGCAACGGGAACCGTACAGTTCTTCCAAAGGTGGGAGAGGGTGACCAATAATCCTTTGGGCTGTGGTTATGACCTTCTGGAGCACCTTCCTCTCCCTAGCTGTACAACTGGAGAACCAAGCACAAATACAGTATGTAAGTATGCTCTCTATGGAGCCTCGGTAGAAGGACACCAGCAGTCTCTCACTCAGATTGTTCTTTTTTAAAAGTCTGAGGAAATAAATTCTCTGCTGGGCCTTCTTCACCAGAGCAGTGGTATTTGCGCTCCAAGTCATGCCCTGATCGATAGTCACTCCCAAAAACCTGAATTCCGCCACCCTCTCCACCCGTTCCCCGTTGATATACAAGGGCTGAATGTCCGCCTTTTTTCCCCTGTAATCCACCACCAATTCCTTGGTCTTAGCCGTATTAAGAGCCAGATTGTTCTCTCCACACCAAACACAGAGCCGCTCCACCTCGTCCCGATAGGCGGACTCATCCCCTCCTGAAATGAGCCCCACCACCGTAGTATCATCAGCAAACTTGATGATTTTGTTGCTGGAGTAGATGGCTGTACAGTCATACGTATAGAGAGCATAGAGCAGGGGACTCAACACGCAACCCTGTGGTGAGCCGATGTTAAGGCTAAGGGCTGTGGACACATGTGACCCTACTCTAACCCTCTGAGAACGTTCTGACAAAAAATCCAAAACCCAGAGACAGGTGGAGTTGGAGAGTCCAATCGTCTCTAGCTTGGACACCAGTCTATGGGGGAGGATAGTGTTAAAAGCAGAGCTAAAATCCACAAACAGCAGCCTCACATAATTCCCCGGCTGCTCCAGATGGGACAGAGCAGCATGGAGAGTAGTGGTGATAGCGTCTTCTGTGGATCTATTTGCCCTGTATGCAAACTGGTAGTTGTCAAAAGTTGATGGAAGACAGGAAATAATATGACGGCGCACCAGTTTCTCAAAACACTTCATGATGATTGGAGTCAGTGCAACTGGTCTGTAGTCATTCAAACTACTGATTGTGGATTTTTTAGGCAGAGGGACAATAGTTGACGACTTCAGGCAGGGTGGGACAATAGACTGGTGTAAGGACTTGTTGAAGATCTTAGTAAAGACCCTCGCCAGCTGATCCGCACAGCCCTTCAACACCTTTCCAGTGATGCCATCAGGTCCAGCCGCCTTTCTCGGATTCACCATCCTCAATACTTGTCTCACCTCGTGCTCCTCTACAGTGAATGAGGGGCCCCTATGGGCTGGTGGCTGTAATACCGGCGTCTCAGGTGGCTCCTTCTCGAAGCGAGCAAAGAAGAGGTTAAGCTCCTCCGCCAGCAAAGGGTCACCGTCGACAGCGCCAAGGTTAGGTTTGTAGTTGGTAATATGCTGAATCCCCTGCCACATCTGTCTTATGTTGTTGCTCCTTAAATTATCCTCAATCCTCTGCCTATAATCCAGTTTTGCCCGTCGAATACCCCTCTTCAAGTTTGCTCTTGCCACACTGTAAAGCTGCACCTCGCAATCAATGTCAAAATGATTGTAGAATCAGTGAAATGTATAAATCAGAAAAGTATAAATAATTTTTAAAAGATGGGGGGGGGGAGAAAGTGTTGCTATTGCATGCTCCCAAAAGTGTCATTACTGTATGTGACACCACAAACCAGCATGATCACCACCAAGAATGACAGAAGTTCACAAACAATCTGTGCCCAAAATTAATTCCAAAATTAATTAAGTCCAGAGTTCCCAACAAAATTCTAACATATGCATTCAGGGTGGGGTGGAGTGATGGGACAGAAAACAATATACATTTGTTAAATTTGATCATTCACATATCCAAATAGTGGCAGAGCTGGGCCACCAGCCAAAGATGGTGGAAGGCAATCTGTGCTACCAGGGGCACCTGAGCTTCAAGCAACAGCAACAAATCCATAAACACCCCCAAGTTATGTACTAGCTCCTTAAGAGGCAGTGAAACCCCATCCAGAGCAGGCAACCTCCCATCCATCCAGTCTAGGGAATCGCCTACTGACAGTGCCTCAGTATTATCCAGATTGAGCTTCAGTTTAATGGATCTCATCCAGTTCATTACTGAGGCATCTCCAGTTCTACAGCAGACAACCTGTTTTCTGGATTATATTCCAAAGCGGTAGGAGTAGATTTCATTTATTTATTCTTGCTTTCCAAGTTGCTTTGGTGAGGTTTGCATTTGTAGCTTAAATTCCTTGCCTGTGACATGCAGCATGTCATCATCCGGATGATAAGGGCTAACCTGCAAATAGCAATTGGTTATAAGGGAATTGATCTTAGCACCGACACTTGGACTAGTTTAAATTCAGGGCCCCTCTTAACCTGCTTAGCTTTACCAATGAAATCATATAATCTGGTTCCTCCAGACTGTTTCTCAAAGTGCATGGGCTGCTAGAAGTTTGAGGAATGTCTGCTTTGCATGCTAAAATTACTTATGCGCATATATATATATATTTGCTGTTTTCCTCATCAGCAAATTGACATCATCTAACATATCAGGACCCAAAACTATATCATGCCAGGGGCACACCCACCATTTTGTTGCACATCTTTTTTACAGAGCTTTTTTAAAAATAATAATAATAAAGGTGGGGAAAGAAATAGTAAATCAGAACAATGTCAGGCATAGAGAGACAGAGAGATAGAAAAGATGGAAAACGAGAGAGATGACATATATAGCAAAAAAGCAGAGAACTGGGTGCTAAAAGGTGGGTCTAAGCCTAAAGAAGCTGAACTCTACCTTTTCATCCAGTTCTTGTTTCATCAGCTGGTATTTTCGCCTAAATTTTGAATTTTCTTCTTCCTTCTGGTTTAGCTCCTCCACCAGCTTATCACACTCAATTTTCATCTTTTCTACCTGTCGGCGATGAGCTTTTACCAAATTTCTTTCTTCTACAAGCTCTGCCTGTTGGGAATAAGCAAAACAAAGAACAAAGTTGACCATGCTTATTTAAGTTCCCAACTTCTTGGCCAAACTTTTATGAAACAATTTTAATGAGGGAGGGTTTCATACAGATTTATCTGAAGGAAGCCTCTTATTTAAAATCCACGTCACATATCAAATGGCACCACAATTGTTTATCATCAGGTAGCTTTATTGCTAGGGGGACGTGGGTGGCGCTGTGGGTAAAAAGCCTCAGCACCTAGGGCTTGCTGATTGAAAGGTCGGTGGTTCGAATCCCTGCAGCGGGGTGCGCTCCCGTTGTTCGGTCCCAGCGCCTGCCAACCTAGCAGTTCGAAAGCACCCCCAGGTGCAAGTAGATAAATAGGGACCGCTTACCAGCGGGAAGGTAAACGGCGTTCCGTGTGCTGCGCTGGCTCGCCAGATGCAGCTTTGTCACACTGGCCACGTGACCCGGAAGTGTCTCCGGACAGCGCTGGCCCCCGGCCTCTTGAGTGAGATGGGCGCACAACCCTAGAGTCTGTCAAGACTGGCCCGTACGGGCAGGGATACCTTTACCTTTACCTTTAGCTTTATTGCTATATAATATACATGTATGCTGACAGTTCTGTCTTTTAAGTTCTGTCTTTGACACTTCTATCTTTCCCCTTCTGCTGAAAATATGGCTGTCCATGTCTCTCCAACATACTGCCACATTGGACCCAAAGAGTTTTTCTTTACAGTAACCTGATACCTCTATGTAACTCTGTACACTAACATAAGACTGACAAGAAAGAAGATGAGACCCCAAAGTATGTCCATTCTCATGAAGGAGAAGGGATGGAGCTATGCAGAAATGTCAGACGGAAACAGGAGGTAAATAAGAAATAAAGTTCTTGCTTACCAGCAGGTTGGAAAACAGGATTGAAATAACCTAATATTCTATTATTGATAAATAAAATGGCAGGCAATTACGTTTTCTATCAGTAATCCCATATTTATTAATCCAATAGTTAGTTTACATAATCCAGGACAACTGGTGTTTTAATTCTGTTCATGCTGTTCTCTAAAATATCAACTTACAGGATCAAACTACATAACAGAGACTTCTGGCAATAGATATATCCTTCCCAGTCTCTGCAAGCGATCCAGATTGTTCTGCACGGTATTAACAGATTTGACTACATGCTGCTCCTCAGTATAGTTCTTGTGTTGCACAAAAATGTCATTTTGTATTTGCCACCTACTCCATGCCCACTCTCAGCCACTGCTTTAAAAAAATGTGTAGAATGAGATCACACAAGCTATTCGCCATGTCCGTGCAAAATGCTAAACTACAGTTCGTCGCTAAAAGCATGAGCAGAAAACAGTTGCCACAAACCCCAGACTCATGCACTGCCCCCTCCTCATGGTTACTTTTTCCTGTAAAGCTTTAAACAGATCAAGAGATCATGCATTCTACCAGGTGGGAGCAGGTGAACCATGTGGACAGGGTGCACCCTGCATGAATAGCTCTTGGACCAGAGGACTAGACTGCCAAAGAAAAAGCAACAATGTCCTTCAGCTTCTCTGGGCCTGTCCATAATTCTCTGGAACCTTAAAACAATCGCTCTTTGTGGGTGGTTACCTGGAGCTATGATTAGTATCCAGGAGTTGGACAAAAGTTGGACATAAACTAAAGCACATTCTGCACACGCAGAACCTTATTTTGCATTTTGAGTGGTAGGAGGACCTCTCAGAGAAACAGCATTCAATTCACTCAGTGTACCCCAGCATCATCAGTAAGGCAAATTTGTATCCTGAACCAGGTAACTGCGATCTTTGGTGACGTTACAAAGTAAAAGAGAGGGTAGATCCAGGTGTCCATACAATGGGAAAGGGGAATTGTCTTTATCCTCCCCCACGATGTATAACCTCCCTTCCAGTCCCCCTAAAAATCACACAGGTCGCTGAGTAAGCAAGTGCCACATTCACTTCTTTATGCATCCAATCTACCATTTTATTACATGCACCAGAGTCTTAAGGACGTCAAGTAAATGCCTGTAAGAGAAAGTGTTTCATGTGGTGGCATGTATGGTGTCAACATCCTCTGGCCATTAACAAGTGCATTCAGTATTATTTTACAGAGAAGAAATATTTTAGTGAAATGGAGAAAACTAACAAAGCAAGTATCAGAGAACAAGGAGATTCAGGCTGAAGAGACTATTACAACTTTGGTTGTTATTGAAAATGGAAAAGTAGCTATGATGGTGTAAAGGATATATGTGGGATGGGCTGTCACTTATATTTGTCATTCTATGCCCAGCAGTATAACCACTACCTGGAAAAATTAAATTGTTCTGCAACTGGCAAATTGTTCTGGTCTATTCTACGTCTGTATTCCACAGTTTTGCAAGAGAAGAGAATGGTGGTATTGAGCATAGGTTTGGCTCTCTGTGAGTATCAGCTTCAATCTGTGTTTTTTGGGTTAGGGGGTTGTTGTTTTTATTTTTAAAAAAACAAGCTTCTAGGAAGGGGAGACAATGCCAAGTGAAATATCAAAAGCAATAGGGGTGGCTGGATAAAATTCCAGAAGTCAAGGGCAGGGCTTTAATGATCTTGATCTCTTCCCATGATTAGCCAAACCAGAATAAATGGCGCAAAGTAGTTAAAAATGCATAATAAATGATGCGAATAGGAACTCTTATATCCCTGAGCACAAAAACCTTGTAGGAAGGAAGGTGTGCATGTAGGAAGTCTGTCGAAGGCCAGGGATAAACAAAGTCAACCTTTGATACTGGCCAACATACCACATCTATTTGGAATGGGCTCTCTCTCTTTTTTTACCTTTCTTTTTTTATTTTAAAGCTCAAGACTACATGTTTCACAAGAATGCAGAACCTGTTCAGGGAGCAAATGGCCAATTTTAAATTGGACAGTTCACACTTCCACTACCCTCCACACAAACCCAGGTACATTATCCAAAAGGTGGGGAGAGATATGCAAAGCTGACTAGCCTACAGGTACCTTGAATTTTTCAATGTGACCAGCTGCTTCTTCCTTTTCTTGGCTGAACAGCTTCATAATCTCTTGGACACGTTGGTCATGTTTGGTTTTCACCCGCTGCAACTCTGACTGAAGCTCTGCTAGCTCCTGCTGGTGGACATCTCGCTCCAACTTCAGCTGCTGGCTGACTGTAGCCATTTCTTCCTGGCTAGACTCCTGCTGTTTCTTGAGATCCATCAGGGTCTTGCGCATCTCCTTCTTGGATTTCTCGTCGTCCGCCACGCGGCTGGTCAGTTCAGCCCGAATTGCACTCAGGTTTTTTATAACAGCCTGCATCTCTAACAGTTTTGCCTGGTCCTTTTCATGGATCGTGTTAATGGTGGCAAGCTCTTCCTCTAAATGCTGCTTTTCAGTTCTTAGCTGGCTCAACGTTAGGCTCTGCTGTCGCAGCTCACCCTCTAGTCTCTCTGCAGTTTCTCTGACATCCTTGATTTCTTGTTCAAGAGCCATCTGAACCGATCTGGTTTCCCTGAGCTTCACTTCTTTGCAGTGAAGTTCCTCTTCTTGCTTGGCCCTCTTCTCAAGAACATCAGTCAGCTCCTTCTGAAGGTTTTCCATCTGATGCATAGCTGAAAGAAGCTGACTTTTTAAGTCATCCCTTTCCTTATGGACCTGCAATTCAAAAGAGCAGTAGAGGACTGGAAAAAAGTATCGAGAGACACATGGACTTCTACTACAGCATGAGGGACACAATTTTTTTCCAGCCCAAAAGCTGCATTCCCTTCACAGGCAACCTTGCAGGGGCCACATGTCAGTGGAGAATAGGGCCAGGTGTAAAAGTAGGTGGAGTAACAAAGGGGATTCTTATCTTTGTACAACAGCTATATTCCAGCCATGGACAAGTCAGAGGTTTCTACACACCCACACATTTCTCCATCAATGGCATTATAGGGAAGAATAGAGCTGATGAGGGGTGTAGCCTGGAAAGAGTCACAAGGGCTGAACAGAGTGTCCTACAGAGCCACATTTGGCCCTGGAGTCTGAGGCTCCCCGCCCCTATATCATAGGGGGGAAATGGCCCAGACCAGCACTGTGGAGAAAGAAGACCACCACAACAAAGAGAAGAACACCAGTGTCCTTTCCCATAAATTTAAGCAGCAGCTGAATTTTGCCACTGTCTGAAAACCTCCTTACTAATGGAAGCATGTCACAACCAAACTATGAAAAGGAGAAGAAACACTACAAAGTGGTATGGAATCCAAGAGGCATGCTGGTAATGAAAAGAGGCGTATGGCTCCCCTTTTATACAATATCATTTACAAGTCATGCTTGGAACTTGAAGGGCAGGCATAAACCCCTAAAATAAGCACCGTACATAAAGCTGTACAATTATCCACTCCCCATTATTCATATTATGGTTCAAGATAACCTGTTTGTATACAAACACATGCAAATATATACATATAACACAGTGCAACTGCCCAGATTTTTAACCACCCATATCTGGTGTGGCTTCTTTTTTTATTTTTTAAAAAAAGGTGTTTTGCTTGTGTAATTGTATTTACTTGTTTATTATTGCTTACTTTACTGATTTTGAGAGAGTTATGTGGTGCCTTGCTGTCAGAAGTCACCCAAAGTAAAGAACAGTAAATGATCATAAAATCCATTAGGAAGAGTAATAGCAGAACAAAATACAACCTGTTCTGATGGTTTTTAAGGTTGATTTTATTCCTTTAATTATTGTTTACCACTTTTAATATTATGACAAACAGATAAAGCAATATTACATTTAAATGCATAAATATTTTATCCCTCCCTTGAACCCACTCCTTCGCAACACCTTGCATTACAGGCTGCTGCTTAAACTTGGGTTGAAGTCAAAGGCTCACTTCTGTCTCTCCAACCTTCTTTCCTGCCACTGCCTTTCTCTCAAATCCTTAACATTCCAGCAATTCAACTGACTCCCCCCACTGTAGTTACAATCACTGTCATTATTCTAGACAGACCCTTCCCTCTCAGAAGTCTCAGTTATTTCAGGTTACAGGTTTTCTCTGTACTTTTATGTTAGACAGGCAGCTTTTAAATCCCAGCAAAGGGAATGTGCTTTGACTGGGTATAAAAGAAGTGACTGAGTAATTATAAAGCAGAGATGCAATGAAGTCCACCTACTTGTCACACTTGGCTTGAGCCTCTTGGGGACACAAAACAGCCTTTCCCTGTCAAAACTGTGTCCCGTATGTTGGTTGCTTATTTTCAAATTGCAGTGAAATGTTTAATTATTGCTTAGAATCTCCAGTCTTCCAATGGCCATCTGCCGCAACTATCCTCCTTTTATGTTTTTACCTTGAGGGTGGAAGGACTAATCTACTATTTTTCACACTGCTAATTTTCCTCCCACGTGTATTATCGCATCAAAAATTGTACTTCCTCTTTCAGCCTTCGGACCTTACTACCGCCTCTGGACATCATTCAAGAACATTTAATTGAAATGTTCATTGCTATTTTAAATGCTAGTTTTTCAGCAGATTACCCCCAAAAATGTTTTTATAAAATATAGTCTGCTGTACAAAAGGGGAAAAGTATTATCACAGAGCTTTTAGCCTGTAAGCACAGCCACCTTGGACTGTTAATCAAACACAATGAAACAAGAAAAGGGGATTCCCAAACAATCCCAGTTATAACATTTGAATTCACTGTTCTGAGAAGGAGAAAAAGACCTGGAAATGCTGTTTTGCCACTGTGAAAGCTGTGCTCTTACTGTTTTGAAGAAGCAAATCAAAGCCTTTGAGAACTGTCAACTTATTCTCTAAAACCTTATTAGTCAGATGAGTGAGCAAACCCTTATCTGTCAGTTCAAATAACTTCTATTAGCGTAGTGCCACACTTTATCTGGCAAAGTGCTTGCTGTGCATACATCACCATTTCCTGAAGCAAATACACAAAGGGGCTTGCGGGATTCCTGGAAGCATTGGGCTTGCCACTGTTGAAAACATGGTATTATTAGACCTTTAAGAAGAGCCCTGCTGGATTCTGGAATGGACCAAAGTGTAGCAGAGATACAACTGAGTATACACAACTCCAAACATCCATATACCTGCGACTAGGGATCTAAGACCAATTTGGTTTCCAAGTTACATGAGCAGAGAGTGTGAATGGTTTGAGTCCTGTATACATATCTGTTCACACCTTGCAGCAGCATGCTGGCTATTTGCCATGCATGGTCGTAGAGCAACGCTTTCAAGCCGGGGTAAGGAACTTCAGACCCAGGGAGCAAATGCATTCCTCCAAAGACTGCACCTCTTACCAGCTCTACTCCACACCCTCTTTGGTTGCTTTTGCCTGGCTGGAATATATCCTGAATTGTAGTAACCTGGATGGTGGGTTGTAGAAACCTCTGACTTTTACATGGCTGGAATATAGCCTGCTGTACAAAAGGGAAAAGTCACATCTGTTTCTCCACATACTTTGGTCATGTCCCTCTGGGCATGCCTACTGTTGCCTCTGGTGCCACTTAAAACTGGGACGCAAGTCCTCAAAATCTGTCCACAATGAAATGTAGCCCAAAGGCTGGTAACATTCTCCCTCCCCTGCTTTAAAGGAACCAAGACCAAAGACTGAATATTTTATTTGGACGACTAAAACTGGGCAAATTTCTTTTAAAAAATCAGGTGGTGATTTTTTGCCTTACATTTCTAGAATTTCTGTTTTATGCCTTACATTTCTAGAAGTCACCATATCAAAGCCAGATTTGACCATTTGTAAGCTTACATTACACAGGTCAAAAATTTGATCAGGCGCCAAATTTTCTATTAAAAATGTAGATGTCATGCCAACCACAACAGGATGACACTATTTCCATCTCACTTGTGAAGATGTTCCAGTAAGATGGATCAGATCAAAAGGTCCATTGTATTAATTACAAGCTACATATATCTGACTACTGAAAGTCATCTCTTCTCCCTCCTCCTCCATAAAGCCCACCACTAACGGAATATGGTTTTTCTTACAGTGTGATATATTATACCTACTTATTTTCAAGAGTCTAAAAATTCACCGGGGGAAAGTAGTTCCCAGAACGGTTGGCTTCAAGAAAAAATGAAATAACTGAAAGGAAAAAAATCCCATACCAGATTGTTCTTCTCCATCAGCTGGTTGTGAAGTTGAGTCTGCTTCTCTCTTTCATGTTCCAGTTTCTTACACTTTAGCTTCCAATGTCTAATAGTTTCCTGAGCTTTCAGTTTTAACTCCTCCCTCTTCTTCTCATTCTCTAGCCTGAGTACTTCAGATTGTCTGAATTCAGCTAGGTACCTCTCTGCCTCCTTAGTCGACTCTTCCAGTTGCTGAGCCAGCTCACTAACTTGGAGTTCTGCAGCTCGGCACTCATTTTCACAGATCTTGTAGCTGCTCTGTATCTCCTTCAGCTGGCTCAGCATCCTTTGCTGCTGGGTCTCCCTCTTTTCCAAGTCGGAGGTTAAAACCTAGAAATCATCACAATACATTAACACACTTTTTCTTGGGGAACAGAGACATACATGAACATTTAACAATTTCCAGAGGGGCAGCTATGTTTGCCTGTGGCAGCAAGACTTGAGGTCCTAGCAATTTTTTATGGCGCAAGCCAGAGGGGTGGGGAAAATCTATGCCTTCAAGATAATGCTGGACTACAAACCCATATCAACCCTGACCATTGCTCATGCCAGGTTAGGCTGAAGGGAGTTGGAGTTCAGGAACATCTGGGAAGCTCACAGCTTCCCCATTCCCAGATTAAGTTTTTGCAGACTAGAGTCCAATTATCATGAGAAGCACAAAGTGTCATACTAAGTTGGCAAGCATATAGAATCACATAGAGAGTGTGTGTTGGGGAGGTGGGACAGAGAGAGGAATGAAGTTACAAGGACCCGAACTGCAGAGAGAGAGAGAGAGAGAGAGAGAGAGAGAGAGAGAGAGAGAGAGGAGCAGACAGTGATAATTTTGTAAAACAAAACAGGTACAGTGACTGATTATCAGTTAATAAATTTGTATCCCACTTTTTAGGAGAAGATGCCTCACAAAGAAGGTACAAAGTGCAGAATGCAGCAATCACCAAAAACAATACAAAAACACAATTTTAAACTGCTTAAAAACGGTCTTACATATCCTAAAAATACTGACAATTGACAAGACAGTGTTGGTAAATTATACAAAACGTATTGTTTTAACTTTTGGGCCCCTGGGCTCCTTTGGGAGGAAGAGAAGACAGAAATTAAATTTGACGACGACGACATTCCAACACTGGTAAGCTAATTAATATATGTAGTACAAAAAAACAACCCTTTAACCTCAATTCAAACCACAGGAGACAGAAATAAAAATCATGTTGGACTGTAGTTCGGTAATTTCATGAGGGAGTCGTTGCTCCAGAATCAAAGGCCTTCAAATGCAAGGAGAGCAACAGCAACCATTTTCCAGCTCCCCACAGCTGTGCCTGTTCAAGAGACACTTCCTTGCTACTGCCAATGAAATAATGGATTTGAACTGCCCTATGTTCTCACCCATGAAACGATGGCAGCAAGCTTTACAGCCAACTTTGAAAACAGACGTCCCCACTGTCCCACAAGACCAGTAAGCACACACACACAAGAAGAGCAGAAGGCACACATATACCCAATGTGAAAAATTATGTCCTGCCAAATGATATGTCCTTGTTCTATGGAACAGTAGATTTTAAATCCTTTTATATCACCACTCTTTCCACATCCATTTTTATTTTACTGTCAGGGAACACACACATCTTTGCCAAAGAACCCTCTGCATATTGCAGACCATTCTGGACCCAGTGGAGAGCCAGTGTGGTGTAGTGGTTAAGAGCGGTAGTCTCCTAATCTGGGGAACCGGGTTCGCGTCTCCGCTCCTCCACATGCAGCTGCTGGGTGACCTTGGGCCAGTCACACTTCTTTGAAGTCTCTCAGCCTCACTCACATCACAGAGTGTTTGTTGTGGAGGAGGAAGGGAAAGGAGAATGTTAGCCGCTTTGAGACTCCTTAAAGGGAGTGAAAGGCGGGATATCAAATCCAAACTAGGACAGTGGTTTGCAAACCCCACCCCCACCCCACCCCACGGACCACTTGAAAATTGCTGACGGTCTTGGCAGACCACTTCATGACTTTTCTGCCTGTTGTAGCAATGGCAATGCGCTCTGCTAGATGTTGTGTGATTTTTCCATTGTGTTTTATTGCTTGTTGTTTCTTCTTCTTCTATTGCATTTTACTGCACTACAAACCGCATTCCATAAAATTCAAATTGCAATACAATAAAATGCAATATAAGAAATAAAAAGAATCAATAAAAATGCAATTAAGTATCAGCATGAATATTTAATATGGGCATGCTGCTGACCACCTGAATGGTGAAGATTATGGGTGGTCCACGGACCACAGTTTGGGAACCTCTGCTCTAGGAGGCACACAGAGTTCATGTGGCCTGCTGGCTAAGCTTCTCGGGCCATGCTAATGGAAAGCATGGCCAAGACCACACCAACCACTCTCCAAAGCAGAGCATGGCACTGGCAGGCAAACACTCAAAGCACTCAAAAAGCAAAAACAAGCCATGTTGGTCCATAAAGCGGGGGAAACTCAAAATCCACTGTCAGGTAACGCCTTTCATTAGGACCAACTCACAAAATATTGAGTTATCACTGGGGATTGTTCTGCCATTATTTATCTTCCCACCGAAAAGACCCTTGTCAGGTTCAGCACGGTTTGGAACACCACCGCTACAGGACCGCTGCCCAATCTTCCCAACAAATTATTCATAGTTAACAATTTTTTAAGCTAAGTTTTGTTCTTTGCCTTTTCTCGCAAAATATATTCAAGCTTTTCAGCTGGCAAGAGACTTGAACAATTTCAGCCCTAGCCATTAAAGAACAACGTTATACACAAATGGAAACAAGAGTGTTGGCGCTACGGTCATTAGTTTAAACTGTTTTTTTTATTAAAAAATAGACATTTTCCAATGTGTTGGAGGCATCATATCCTTTCTTTTAGACCTTCAGGCGTTATAGATAACCTTTCTTGCTCAGCTACCTAATAAGTGATGTTTTATACGCTCTGATGAGTTCAATTCCAATGGAAGATTTGTATTAATTAAACATAATCTCCAAGGGCTATAGATTCAAATTCTGAACCTGACAAGTGTGAGAGGATACAGACAAAAACCATCTGAAATCATTACATTTAGCCTTCCATAAATTTTGTTAAAATGTCTCACCTTCAAACTTCAGTGCTAGATTATTTTCCTTACAACAGCTGTAATTGTTTCCCATCCGATGATAAAATCCCTATCCTAAATAATGGCATCTTCAGCCTTTCTGGGTCATTAAAAGTAATTATTTCTCCACAAAGCCTATGAGAAAAGATCTTGTACCTACCACTGTAGTTTCCATGTAGTAGTTAATGAAGCAAGATTCTAAGCTTAGGCAAAGCAGAGAAAATATTAAGATAAATTATCATGTTAAAAACACTGAACAGTATTTCATCAGCAGTTAATATTTTCTACTCCCCGCCCCTGATTAAACTTTTAATTAGAATATTTGCTTTAAAATACACGGGTACATAGTAATTCCTAGTCACCAACTATACAACTGATTGGTAGCAGGACAGACCTGATCTAAACTGATAAAATATATATGCAAAACATGTACTCATATATTTTGCAATTCTGAAACTAAACAGAGCTAATAAGGAGAAATAAATCTTCCTTGCTTTGCTTATTATTAAGTAAGAAGTTTATACTTGGGGGCTTTTAGCACAGTAGTAGAACTTCCCCTCTTTATACTCCTCCTTATACTCAGAGCAATTTATCATCATGGAAGAACTACCTTTCTTCAGTATTAATTTTTGGCACTATGCAGAAGCATTGGTTGCTATGGGCCATAGTAGAATACCAAATGTGCTCAAGCCCATAGATCTCACAAGGCTTGAATGCATAGTTGTGGCTTGCACGTCTTCCCTCGGGGTAGTACTCCTGTTGCAGGGATATTAGCTTGGAGTGAAGGCCTTGGAGGAAAGCTCTGGAGCAGCTTTCGAGGCAGTGTGGGGACTGATGAAACACACATATACAGTGTGGTGCGGCTATTGGGTTACAAATAAAATACCTTACAAACCACACTGGATAACAAAAAAATGCATGTCAGCATCATCTGGGACTGGTGTTTCCTGGTTTGTGCAGTGGTGCCCTCTGTGGTGACACCCTGAAGACTGCAGAGATGAAGAACAAGGAGCAGGATTGTCTTCACAGGTCTCAACAGGTTTCCACCTTCCTGGTAGCCCATTGGCTCCTCCAGACCTGACAAAGCTACAAATGCTGGATCTTTGCCAGGGCAACAACCAGCCTTTGGCCTTAACTGTATGGCTTTCTAATTATCTGATGGTCAACCAGCCTACCTACACTTTGGTCTTCCTGCTCAACAGCTTCCTCTCAACCTTCCCTCATCCCGGACCGCATGACAGCCCTTGCCCCATTCCAGCCAGCCTCCTTTGCCCAGATTCCTTGCCTTGGACCCTGACTCTCCTGTACGTCTTGCTTCCTAAATCTGTCAAGGCATGCCTATGGAATCAACCCTGGTGCTTCACCCCAACCAAATCCAGCCCTACCATGATTCATTTTCAGCCCTCTGTGTGCTGCTCCATAGAGCCCAGTGTAGAAATAATTATAGGTGCTGAAATCTGTCCTATGTTAGGCTTTATGCATCCCAAAGGGCCTGTTATACCTAAAATTGACTTCTACTGCTGTAACTGGCATGCTCATGTTTGCTGCCAACTTCACCATCTCTGATTTATTCAATATCATTTTAAGTGCTTGATGGCAACTAACCAATAAAATGCATATTTAGAATCCAATAACTCCAGCTATAAAATTTAGAATACTCTGTTTTTCTTCCCTGGGATGTTTTTTTCCAAATGAATTCAGTCCGGTTTTGTATTTCTGGACAACTTATCATACAATATACAAACCACAGGGCTGGAATATTCAGCAATGTTGTTGGAAATATATCTGGTGCCTGCAGTTACCCCCAAAAGCAACACAATCCACTAATTACTGCTGTTTGTATTCCAACTCCAAAAAAGGTTTTAAATTGTTAAAAAGTATTTTAAGGTTAAGAAAATTCATATTCTATTCCAAAACTAAAAGGTTTTAAGGCTGAAAAACAGATTCTTACATGCCAACCCAACGTTGCCACACACATGTATGGCAGTTTTCACAGCAAAACTGTCAACACAATCTTAAGCCTGACATAATTAGAATAAATTTTATAGGCAAAAGTAATCGTTTTTTGAATAACAGTTTTTAAAAATGTATTTTTATCCCATTTATACCCCTGAATATCATTTGCTGGGAAAACAACAGTGCAGGAAAGGACAGTTGCCTCCATGTCTTGCTTGTGGGCTTCCAATAAGCATCTGGTTGGCCCATGTGGGAAGCGGATGTTGGACTAAATAGG